ATTCACGTCCCCCACAAAACGTAAAATTTCACCCCCCATATATATATATATATATATATATATATATATATATATATATATATATATATATATATATATATATATATATATATATATACACCAGTGTACGTACATGTATTGCACTCTGCGATGTTACGAGCTTTAACATCTAAAAATTGTTATAAAACTAGTCATATGGATTTTCACTTGATTATTATGATTTCTTTCATTATTAATACGATTAATTGATATTTGTTGAATTATTGAAAATAATAAAATGAAACAGCCTTATTCTGCATACGACCACAAATAAAGTGTTAAACACCTGTAAATCCAGATTTCTTTAGTGCGACATTAATCATCATCATGTAACGACTTTGACGAGCAATCATGACAATTGACGATTCAAGTCGGCATCGCCTCTGGTCACTCGAAACTTCCGGTACAACAAAGGATCCCTTTATGGCGAAGATGCAAGTGTACCAACCAAAGATTTTTTTTTACGTGTGTGTGAATGCAAAAACTACTTGGAATCAAAAACTAAACTTCCCATAGTAAAAAATATATCGATAAAAACAGATGTAACGGGAGAGGAGAGCCCCCTGAATCTCCACGGATCCAGTCAGGTGCTCTACCAACTGAGCTATCTGGCCACCGGCAATCGAACCCGTCTGATCGCCACACAGATAATATTGCATGCAGAAACTGACCCCTTTTATGCTGCAACCACTTTGTATCATACCAATGGCTCTTCTGCGCTCCTCTGTAAGCATGAGCTACATTTTATTCGCAATGTTTAATGTTCGCAGCCTTAATGTCTTTCGGTGAAAGAATTATTCAAAGAAACGAAAACAAGAATCAAAGAAACAGAATTTTCTTTCTACAATACACAAACACGATTTTTCCTTTCACGATAAAATCGCTACAGTTTAATGTGTTTTTCAGCGATTTCAATATTCTTGTTGTTAAATAATTAAGTATTGCCGATAGAAATCTTGTGTAAATTTTGGTATCATGCTGCCTCATATGACATGCACAGAAACTATTTAAACAAGATGTGTTTGTGAAACACTGATGCCCCCGTATGGCAGCTTATGGCGAAGGTTAAAGTTTCTCAAATGCAAGTCAAAATCCAGGCCAAAAGATAAAAAAGTGTTAAATTTGAAAGCCCTAGCTGCAACTGTTCAAAAGTTATGGCGAAGGTTAAAGTTTTTTTTAAAAAGTAAGTAAAACATCAAGGTGAAGGTCAAAGTTGTTGGTCTTGTCACAAGGATTATATATGTAAAGTATGAAAGCCCTAGCACCAACCATTCAAAAGTTATTGGCCAAGATTAAAGTTTTTCGGAAGTAGGTCAAACTCCTATGTCGAGGTCAAAGGGTCAAAGTTGGTATCCAAAGGAAGGTCTTGTCACAAGGATTACATATGTGAAGTATGAAAGCCCTAGCACTAACCATTCAAAAATTATAGCCAAGGTTAAAGTTTTTCAAAAGTAGGTCAAACTCCTAGGTCAAGGTCAAGGGGTCAAAGAGGTTGATATCCAGAGGAAGGCCTTGTCACAAGGAATACACATGTGAAGTTTGAAATCCCAAGCACCAACTGTTCCATAGTTATGGCCAAGGTTAAAGTTTTTCAAAAGTAGGTCAAACTCCAAGGTCAAAAGGTCAAAGTTGTTGCTACCCAAACAAAGGCCTTGTCACAAAGAATACATATGTGAAGTTTGAAACCCCAAGCCCCAACTGTTCAGAAGTTATGGCCAAGGTTAAAGTCTCATAAAATTTTGCAAAAGTGGGTCAAATTCCAAGGTCAAGGTCAAAAGGTCAAATATGATGGTACCCAAAGAAAGTTCTTGTCACAAGGAGTACACATGTGAAATATAAAAGTCATAGCTCCAACCAATCAAAAGTTATGGGCAAGGTTAAAGTTGACAACAGACAGACAGACAAACAGACAGACAGGACAAAAACAATATACCCCCGGGATCTTTCGATCCGGGGGCATAAAAATAGAGTGGCGGGTTAGGAGTTATGATTAGCATACACTATACAACAACTTAACACTCCTTCATCCATTACATTGAATTCCCACCAAACAATATTTTTTTCCTCGAAGAACGAAAATTTGACACCACTAAAGTAAGTGATTTTACCGTAAATAACTATTATAACTAATATTTCTGTACTATCTCTGTATAATCATTGTGTTTCAAATGGTGGGAATCGACATTTGTACCATTAGTTCGTGAGCTTTCCAGAGATAAGAACTAAAGGATTTGCAATGATAATTCAACTGATTTTGAATCTGGCAATACTGTCAACATTATCAACAGGCATTTTGCTACAAAACGAAAATTGTGCAGAATGCATAGCCTCGCTCCAGGAACAAGTAAGCCTTTTACAACAACGCTTGGAAACGCTGGAGCTGGGTAAGATTCTATCGTATATGAACCAATGATATTATAAACTGATATGTGAAAACTGGTGATGATTAAACCGCTTATGTATATATTTATCTCGTAGATGCCAACCAACAACCAATAGCCTTTAACGCAGAATTATCATCGGATCTCGTTAACCCGATCCAAGGATCAAACATCTTATTTGACAACGTGCGATTTAATTCTGGTAACGCCTATACTAACAAAACGGGCATATTTTTTTGTCCGGTTCCCGGAGTTTACTATTTTTCTTTGGAACTTTCCTCGAATGGTCATCCCCACAGCAGTCACTCCCTGCATGCAAAAATTTTAAAAAATGGATCCCCGATTTCCATAACGGTTCTTGATAGCAACAGTCATCCCTCCTGGTTAAGAAGAACGTCTTCGGTTACGACGGAATTAACACAAGGTGACGTCATTTCCGTTTTGATTAACTACGTCGTTGGAAACATTACAATCAGCGGTGGTTCTGCTCTCTCCACTTTTTCTGGTTTTCTTGTGCAGAGAATGAAATAAATATTTACATATCATTATGATATTAATTACATTGTTATACTTATACCCATAGCTCCCTTTCTAAGGAGGAAATTCTTCAAAATCATATGTCAGTTTTGAATATTTTTAATATTCCCAACAACCAAATTGAATTTGAATTACCATATCTATACATGTATTGGATTCCGAAACTTCATAAAAATCCTTATAAACAAAGATACATAGCGGGTTCCAGTAAATATTTTACCAAGCATCTTTCTTTACTCCCCACTAAAATATTAACAGTAGTGAAGGAAAAACTTCAGGAGTACTGTGCAACAATATATTCGAGGAGTGGTGTAAATCAGATGTGGATATTTAAAAATTCCAAGGAACTTTTGGAAAATTTGAAATCACAAAATTCTACCAAAATCAACAACATAAAAACTTACGACTTTTCAACTTTATATACAACCATTCCTTACGATAAATTAAAATCCAGGATTTTTGACATCGTTGACAGCTGCTTTTTCAATAAAAATGGAACACGCAAATTTACTTACCTTGTCAGTGGTCATTTGCAAAATTATTTTGTTAAAAAAAATCTGATTGTACACACAAGTACTCTGAAGTTGATATTTCCCATGGGTACCAATTGTGCCCCGTTATTAGCAGACCTATTTTTGTATTCATACGAAGCAGAATTTGTTCAAAATCTTATACGTGAAAAGAAGAAAACACTTGCTGTGGCCTTCAATTCAACATTTAGATATATCAACGACGTATTGTCAATTAACAATGGTTATTTCCATTCTTATGTCGATACGATATATCCCGGTGAGCTTGAAATAAAAAATACCACAGAGTCTGACACATCTGTTTCATATTTGGATATTTCACTAGAAAAAGACGTTAAAGGTAATCTAACAACAAAGCTTTATAATAAACGAGATGACTTTAACTTTTCAATCGTCAACTTCCCTTACTTATGCAGCAATATATCTTTATCACCTGCATACGGGGTTTATATCTCACAGTTGATGCGATACGCAAGAACACGCTCTACGTATGACCAATTTCTAAAACGAGGTAGGTTACTGACAAACAAGTTGATGAAACAAGAATATCACCAGTCTCGTTTAAAGTCATCATTTCGTAAGTTCTATGGTCGATACAATGACCTTGTCAGCAAATACAATCTATCATTCAGTCAAATGCTGACTGACGTTTATCATACCAATTGTTAGGCCATTATTTACACACTGGATATTGTAGACGGATTTTTCCGTTATTTCCCGATCATGACAAGAAGCACACGGCGGGTGTGACCGGTCGGCAGGGGATGTTCACTCCTTCATGGCACCTGATCCCACCTGTGATGTTTTAGAGGTCCGTGTTTGCTCTGCTCCAAAATTTGTATTGTTTAATGGACTTTTGAGCTTGAATACTGTTCGATATCTCCATATATTTCATTGTTCAATATCAAATGAAGAATAAAGAAAAAAGAAACTCAACAGGTTTCAGCTGATATTTATATACCGGGACTTTTTATTTAAGTGGATTTTTCTTCTTTTTAGCAAAAAAAAAATTCGTTTTGGCGGAATACTCTTTTATCAAAAGGGCAAAAAATAGATTAATATACATGTGTAGTAAAGATACATTAGTAAATTTACAAATTACTATTTTGTTATCAATCCTGTACATGCATCATGATATGTGATAAAGGCTAAAAGAACACATTAATGATCGACATTAAACACATATTCATATATCGGTATTGACTTGACATTATGTAGACCACATGATGCACGAATTCCTTCTGTCCTTCCTGATATACATTTTATGAAATAAGATATACAGCATGACTATCTTAAATTGAGAAAATTCCGCCAAATGAAAAGAAATACAGTGTCTTTTTAGTTCCCTATTGGTGAAACCGGAGGAGACTACATATATTTCTTCCTCCTCTGTCCGTCCGTCTGCCAGTCTGTCCGACTTGGTTTTCCGCACATTTTTCTAAACGCTTGCAGATATTGAACTTATTTGGCATACTCTCAGAAATGCTTTAAAATATCAATATGAAGCGAAAGCTTCCGCAGAGAGATATCAGAATATTTTAATACATTCCAAAAGCTTCACTCAACAACTGAGACAAGGTACTATAAAATTCTCTTTATTATCGATATGCTTTACTAATCAAACGTATTACTTCTTAATGAACCTCTGAAATCTTTATGTATTCCCTAAATCACCATATATACACATAAACATTACCTGTGCGTCAGTCGTGTGTTTTCTCATGACCGTCACACCTGTGTCGTTATACGTACTTCTAGTTTGAAGTAGAGTGCTTATGAACACGTGCTTCCGGCTAAATGATTCTTGTGCAATATGTGAATAATATTCATTACCTTTATAAATCTGTTTTATCACAGATCAATAACAGAAAAACGACAATATTCACTGATACTATTTTGGTGACAGATGGAATTATTCTGGTTAAGCGGTATCCTCGTGCCGTCTGATAGGGTAGGTACCCGGCTCAGATTAATCAGATAATACCCCTGGGAATAAACAATCTGTTTTAATATAAACTTATTATCCCCGAGATAAGGATTATCGTTATTCAATTAATATCTTAATTTCTGACTCTTTACGGCACTTTGACGCCGCTGAAGCAGTTTATTGATCGCTGTCTTTAAACCACGATGTTTTCCTGGAACCTATTTCCTACTTTGCTATATACTTCTACCATTAGTATTGTCACAAGTTCATTAGTATTGGGGCCTAATGCTACACGACCCTGTGTGTGCTTGCAACATTATTTGACAACAAAGAAAGCACTCTTGGTGCTAGAAGAGAAGGAAGGTGCAGGCAGATTTTTTGTGATGGAACAACAAGGACTGGTTTATTCTTTTTCGTCAAATTTTGGGAACAAGAAACTGTTTCTTAATTTGACGTCTTTTGTGGAATATGACGAAAATATCGTCGACGAACGTGGACTCTTAAGTATGGCTCTGCATCCTAGGTTTTCAACAAATGGTAAATTATACACATACTCAATACGTAAACTTAAAGGAGAACATTTTGCATTTGTTACGGAACTTCAAGAAGTTTCAGGGAGGGTTGACGTTTCGAAGGAAAAATTATTAATGGTTATACACCAGCATAACGCAAAAAGAAATGGTGGTCAGGTATGAATGTTGCTTAAATACATACACAATATAAATATAAATTTAAAACAATTTAATTGCCTTTTGTCGTATCGGGTTGCATGTTAAATGTTTAACGCGTGTCAACATAGCAGATACATGTACAGGTTTTAACTTACTGATAAATGTTTAAAACAAGTAGCATATGTTCAATTTTTAAACTGTTTCAGTGGTCATATGACACCAAATGTAAGTTGTTTTTCATCGTAGCTATTATTTGGCAAGGATGGATATCTGTACATTTCCGTTGGAGATGGAGGTCTTTCTTCAAGTGCGCAGAATATGTAAGTTCACATATCCTGTATTCTGTTTTCCTTTTTTAAAAAAGGCCATTTTTGATTAACACATACTATTTTCAGTTTTGATTGTTTTGCACTTGCTGTGATCCCCAACTCGACATTCAGATATCGACGACGTTTTATCAATTGACAATAGTCACTTCCATTAATATGTCGATTCGGGTGCATATCATTACCGCTACATTTTCAAAATAGTCATTCCGCTACGTATTCAATAAATTTATTCTAATTTATTCAATAAAAAACATTTTTTGAAAGTTTAAAGCCGAGAATTGTTCATGGATAAAACACACAGTCAACTGATGCTAAATAATTGTATTTTGACTATAGACTGAATGAATTATATTGATTAGAATTCGGATCCAAATTGTACTTCACTACATTGTGAGTGAATTATATTGAATAGAAATCATATTCCGTGCCATTGCTGATAGTAATCGATTATGTAGCGGTAATGAGTTGTAATCGCCAATTGTCTTATTGATACTGATCATCTGAAATGCGTCGAAAAAGTACAGTGTAGCAGTAATGGGTTGAAGTTTTTGGCAATGTATCGGTAATGTTGAATTCCCGTCGACTCGATATATCCCAGTAAACTCGAAGTAAAAAAAATACCACAGAGTCTGCCACATCTGTTTCATTTTATGTTTTATTGACTATAGACGATAAGGGTCAACTTACAACAAACTGTATGACAAACGAGATGACAAGCTTTTCCATCGTCAACTTTCCTTATTTGTGTAATAATATATCCGCTATCACTTGCATTTGGGGTTTATGTCTCCCAACTTATTCGATATTATAAGAGCATGATCAGAGTACGATCAAATTTTTAAACTGAGACAGACTACTGACAAATAAGTTGATGTTACAGGGATTTTAACAACTTCGTTTAAAGGAAGCATTTTGTATATTCTATGGTCGTTGTAATTACCTTGTTAGCAAATTGCATTGGGCCGTAATTTCGCGGACATATTTCATACCAGTTGTTAAGCCTTTGTTTTTATACTAAATTTCACTACGAATTACTCCGTGTATCTGATCCCACTTCTATAATTTTCGGAGGTTTGTGTTTTATGCCCAGTTCACAGATTTATATTGTTTGTAGCTTTTTTCTTAATCGATCACTTTTCGTTATCTTTACCTTTTTCATTTTTGTTGTTGTTGTTGTTATTTGTCTGTTTCTTTGTTTTTTCCTTGCTTTTTTAATTTTATAAAATGGTTTTATCACGTCGGATCTACAACTTTTGAATATATAGAAGATATGTATTTTGTGAATGCATAAAATTTGTTAATGTAACTTTCTGTGTAATTATAGACGTAATCTGCACAATAACATGACAAGTAGTGCAAAAGGAACAACGAAATAAAAGTTATAGCAAATGAATAAATAAAAATTTTAAAAAATCCTGATTTATCAAGATCATATCTTTGTTTGACAAACTACAAGGTTGTTTGAATTTCAATTTTTATCATCACTCAAACACTTGGCGCATTAAAAGATTATGTAGTACAGTATTTCAATTTCAGGACCTCTCTGCTGGGAAAGATTTTGCGTATAGATATCGGAAACATTGAGATAGTGAACAATCAGATCCGGTACTACGTCATACCACCCGATAACCCGGGTGTGAATGGTCTTCCGGAGATATATGCCTGGGGTTTTCGAAATCCATGGAGATGTAGTCTTGATACTGGTACGTATATATGTAAATTATGATTTGCAGCATTTCAAAGAGTTGAAGGGAATGGATTTGAATACAGTTCCATTGAACTGTTTGAATTGCAATGAGTTTAGTTTGTAAGTTTTTAATTTTTTAATCAGTTAATTTATGTATTTATTTTTTATTTTTTTTTTTTTTGATTTGATAAGCCTTCGCAAAAGGTCACGTACTAGCCCGTATGTGTGTCTCTAATACAGTATACTGTGAACGCGAAATACATGTGCAAGCTATTTATTTGAGGTTCATAAGTCAAATTCAACGTTTGGGGTTCTTCTTCCGAAAGTGATTGACACTATATATAAGAATGCTATTACACAATTTAATGAAAATTGGTAAGAGGTGGTAGAGTTCCAAAAGAATATGCTTCTTTACTTGAGGATCTAAAAGACTATGGTCAAGCAAGCTATCATAATTTTGTAACAGTAATGGTTAAAATGTTAATAAAGTCAAAGTCCACTTTTGTGTTACGTCCCAGTAAAAAAATAAACAAAAATAGAATAATTGTATATTGTTGGCTAAATTGTGGAGAAAATCTGAGGATCATCACCTGAAAACGTTTTTTCCTAGTAAAATATGTCCATCTTGGGGAGGGATTATCGTGCGACATCGTAGTATTCAAGGCATCACAACTGAAATAAGAAATGTTGCAGACATTGCAAGACTGAGGATTGAAATTCACATGAAAAAAAAAAACATTGAAATAATCATGTACATTATTCACTGTATCTTGAATTTATATCATAATTAAAAAAAACCGCAAATATTGACATCATGAAATATTCCCCTACATGTATTTATAGCTAGTGCATTGCACAAAAAGCTTGTGGACAGCCCCCCCCCCCCCCACCCGAATATATACCCAAGGTCCAAGGATATTTTTATCCTTTTCATTATTTATTTTAAATCATATATATATATATATATATATATATATATATATATATATATATATATATATATATATATATATATATATATATATATATATATATTTAAAAATCATACCCGCGGTTTTATAAAAATACCGTGGGTATAATAAAACGTTTATTCTACGTTAGTTTTTGGAATTTTCATATGGAATACATTATTAAATGTGTGCTAGTAGAATAATTTATGAAAGAAGACAAAAATATCCTTGGACCCGGGGTGTATATTCGGGGAGATGGGGGGGTTCTGTCCACAAGCACCTGTGGTATATTGTAGTTCATTTAATTGTTTTTAAAGCTTTTAGATTGTTTATTAATTGAGTTATTATCAGAGCCAATACAAGACATATAAGAAAATAAAATATGTCCTGATAATCAAATAATTGTCAATGAGACCGACTAACTGTTCTATTAATCTGATGTTTTATTTCTTGTAGGAAGTTCTGAAGGTGATATTTATTGTGGTGACCCAGGAGAAGGCGACCAGGAGGAAATTGATTTCATCCAAAAGGGTCGTAACTATGGATGGGATATCAAGGAAGGAGATAAATGTGTTTCAAATTCCTGTAATATAACAGGTCATTTTAATTTCATGTCAGCTAAATCACATGTATATGGTGCTTACATCACTGAACTTATTCGATACTCAAAAGCTTGCTCCGAGTACAATCAATTTTTAAACCGACGCAGGCTGCTGACAGATAAGTTGATGTTTCAGAGATTTCAACAACCTCGTTTAAAGTCAGCATTTCGAGTTGGTAGTTATAATGGCCTTGTTAGTAAATATAACCTATCACTGGGTACTTTCGCTGACGTGTTTCATTCCAATTATTAGGCCTTTGTTTTTATACTAAATTTGACTACGGAATGTTCCGTCTACCTGGTTAATACATAGGGCTCACGGCGGGTGTGTCCAGTCAACAGGGGACGCTTCTTTTAGGCACCTGATCCCATCTCTGGAATTTCGGGTCCGTCTGTTATGCCCTCTTCATAGATTTGTATTGTTTATAAATATTTTGAGATCAACCACTGTTCGTTATCTTCACCCTATTCACATATAAAACATTGCCGTGAAAATATAAGTATAAAGTACATCTCGTTACTGTAATCAAGCAGATAAATGAATTTGTTAATTGAATCGCATTAAACATTGCCTTTAAAAAGAACAATTTTTCAGCATCTAAAGGCAGCAACAGTCACACAAACAGACATTACTTTCACCATTTATTGTTTCATTTTTTTTAGGCATGTAGGAGGGGGGATATAGTTTTGCCAGTATATACCGGTACTTTATTATGTAAAACTAAGGCCAGTTAACAACTTTTTCCCGCTTGTCAAGGATTTTTTCTTTATTGTGGCCCATGAGATGAGAGTGCTACGTGTGTTGTCAGTAATCTATCTGCTGATCTGTAGCTCGCTAGTCTGGGAAAGTTGAGATGGACGCCAATCCCAATTTTTCCCAGACTAGCGAGCTACAGATCTGCAGCTGTCTGTAATCTACCTCGTATTAAAACAGGCCTTGAAGGTCGACCAGTCTACGTGTATAATCACTCCCAAGGACCCGCTGCTGTGATCGGAGGATACGTCTACAGAGGAAATTCCATTAAGAACCTCACTGGGAGATACATTTTCGCTGATATTTTTGCAAAGTAAGAATTAATAAAATACATTTTTTCTTAAATTACTAGTTTTAAGTCAAAAGGCTTTGATTTTTTCATAAAAACATCATATAAAATGAACTTTGTGGTACCCTTTGCTATAAGGTTTTTGCACACATTTTTAGCCATCCACTCAAATTTCATACCTTTGTCCAACAAAAATTTCAAGAAGTTAACGAAATATGAACACACTCTATCACTACCGGTATACTACACATTTATTTATGGTCTGATTAAAAAAAATCTTTAATGTATCTTCATCTAACAAAAATAGCTAGGTCACTTCAAACATAAAATGGCCCCGTCAAAATAGTCATATAAATTAAATGACTTACACCCTTTGTCCCATTTCATACATCAATATAAAGTAGAGACTTGGTACTTTCATTTCCTACAATAAAGTCCAGGTATTCGAAAACAGACTTTGTGAAATTTCAATTAGCTAGAATTTTGTAGGTGTATTTGAGTTCCTTCAGGCAAAGAATTTTAAAATTATGAATACACCACTGGATCCAAAAAATAAAGCATGTTTATAATCTTACGAGACAGTTATTGTACACTTTGGATTAGAGGTTGTGTTCTTTACAAAATACTGAAAAACAGCTTGAATTTTGTCCATTTATGAAGAATTTTTTTACGAAAAGGGCATAATGACACAGTTTACGAAGATAAAATACTATGAATGGCGAGAAAATTCATTTTCAATAAATGTACCAAAGTTCCTATTGAGATTTAATGCATTGTCAACTAAAATGAACAATTTTGATTTTTCAGAAATTCACAGGATCAAAAAAGGTTCAAAGTGAACATTGCATTTTCAGAATGTTTTCGATATGGGATGCAATTCTCTATCGCTTTACTATATTTATATTTATTTATTGCCTAATTTAAAAAAAACAACTTTTGTTTATATGTTTATCAGAACATTCCTGTATACATTAGAAAAAACGGGTGGTGTTGACTGGAAGGAGACACACCTTTATTACTGTGACCTGTCCTTGTGCCCCTGTCACGCCAAGGAAACCCTGGGCCAGGATTACCTGGTCTCGTTTTCTCAAGATAATAAAGGTTTGTTGACAAGAAATTCTTTTATCTATGTAATCAGCTATTTAAAAAAAAAGAAATATTTTTTGTTATAGTCATGATTTACCATGTACAGAGATTGAAATATCCGTAAATGAACAAAACTGGTCTCAAATACTGTTTTTAGAGTCCGCACTTTTTGTTAATTTCATAAAGGATGTACCCAGAATTTCAAAAGAATTGACCTATAGGAGAGAACAATTTCTCGGAAAAAGTCACTTGTAAAATGATCTAACTATATGAGAAGCGATTTTCTACATGTGTTTAGCTTAAAGTCATTTACTGGAATTAAATTCGATAAGATTTTTGTAAAGATTAAAACCAATCTGGGCCAAATAGGTCTATGATTCATTTAAAATGAGGCGATCCTTTAACTGGGAATAAAATTACCATTCACAAAGCATACCTAGTACTAAACAATTATAGCCCTTTTATGAGGTCTATCCATAAATATTTCAACTTCAGAGAAGAGCTTATCGACCGAGCACGAATTGTTTTCTGTGAAATCGATTTATCTATAGATTGACTGTATAAAAGTGCATTATTTTTCATTTTGTAGAGATTGACAAAACAAAATGTAAAAATTATGGGAACATTTTTTTAACACAGAAGAACTAGTCTAGACATTTGTCAACATAAAGTAAGATGTTTTAATGCCATTATGTTTCCTTTATACTGAAAGAGTACTTTATGGAATGTATCAAATCAAAAAAGGCTAAATAGCTATTTTTTATATTGTAATTAAGATGATTATTTTCGTAATTTTCATTGGCTGAGAGGACATTACGTGATATTTTTCCACATTTGATACATTTTGACGCGAAAGCGCGTCCACGGAATTTGATATCGCACGACTCACCGTTCGGCTCCACCAAAGTACGTGTCGTCATAATATAAGAAGCGTGTCTTTACCATTGTGAGGTAATTACAAACAAGTCTGTTCAGTTAGGACTGAGTCAGTCAGACTGAAGCGGCTTATAAAAAGCGTAAACTGTTCCAACCCCGGTTATACAAACTTGTATAACTTAAGTAGCTTCTAAATACATTCTTATAATTTAATTTTCCATCATTAAGTGCAGAAAATAAGACAATTTTTCCTTCAAAAGTGCCTTCAAATTGTACATATTTTAAATGTAACGTCAAGCAGATTGATACGTTTTTGGCGAAAGTCATTGTGACGTAAGCCACGCAGGTTATAAGATATAAACTATGTTTTTTTATCCAATCAAATGACGCGTTACAAGCAAAATTAAATTATCTATATATAAAATAACTATTATGGACTTCAAAGAACGGTCAATATGTGGTGATAAGGACCCATGTCAAGTGATATTGACCTCAGACACAGAAAATGATAACGATCAGCGAGATCGTTATCATTTTCTGTGTCTGAGGTCAATATCACTTGACATGGGTCCTTAAAACCACATATCGGCCTACATTGAAGTCCATAATTGTATAATATTACCAATAGAAATAGTTCAAATAAGGGGAAAAGATATAAAATGTAACCTTAAGGCAAACATACTCTATGATACGTCTATCCATAATCAATCCCCCATCTACTCTGGGGGATATCATAGTCGACTTTAAGGTTAACCAATGAAATCGTAGTATACCTTTGTCTATACAGTGTGTTTTATGCAATTAGTCTTTGTCATCATTTCAATTTGTAGCGGAAGGTCATGGGTTCAAACCCCGCCGAGATAGACTGACCTAAGTCGATAAAAATAAGTAGCAATTGTTCCTTCGCCAAGTTGCTGGGCACTCTGAAGTGAAAGTAGCGGGTCTCTCGGATGAGATCTTAAAAACCGAGGCCCCTTTATCACGGCAAGCGTTGGCACGGTATAAAGATCCCTTACTGCTCAATGGTCCTGAGTGCCAAGAAAAAGTGTAAATTTGAAGTCCTTCACCAGTTCATATGAGTGAAAAATTCTCGAACGGGAGATAAAACAACCAAAAAAAAATCGAACTGTAGGAATATAAGTGTATAATATATTAAGGCATTAATGACAAAGATTTCATGAGAAACAAACATTAAAAAAATGTGTTTTGATGAGACCCCTCCCCCCCCCCCCCCCCCCTCAGTAAAATATACACTGAAGTTTACACAAGACCTCCTTATTTTCTTTTTATCTCTGTTACTTTGCAGGCTGATTTTTAACATTATAATTGTATTATCAAACGATACGGAATTTAAAGACTACATGACAATCGTACAATTACAGGAGAAGTGTACTTACTGTCCACAAAATCGTTCACAGGAAAATCAACTGACGACAGACTTCTGAAACTTGTACCTCCCAAGTAAGTTAGAGAAGTTTGATGACAAAATCACAGTTCTCACGACCGTACATGTATCTTGATTATCTGAATAAAAGTTGTCTTTCTTTTGCAGCTATTTCGCCACCACATGCAGTGCTCCAGCTTTAACCAGTCACTTGAAAACAATCTACATTTTCGTGTCCTTTGCATTTTATTTAATGATCAAAAAGTATTTTAATTTAACCTTCTTTACGTAGTCCAACAAGTTTAAAAGACTGGTTGCTTGTGATAAAACCTGAGCGATTAGTAGTAATTTGTTAAATGACAGATGTCACTTCGAAAGTTTGGTTTTCTTTATTCCATATTTGGACATACTTCAGTGCTGTAGTAAAATTATTTGTTGTGAATTAAACATTATGGGCGTCTTGTTTGATATATAACCCAGGATTTAACAAATTAATCCGATAAATATATACATTTGCTGATGTTTTGCAGCTGTTTTTCAGTGATAACCATAAAGGTTTTTGTTGTTTTGTTTTCTTTGTTGTTTAACGTCCCTCTCGAGAATTTTTCACTCATGGAGACGCTACCACTTGCCGGTGGAGGGCTACAAATTCTAACCTATTCTCGGCACTTACGGCCATTGAGCAGTGAGGGATCTTTTTCGTGCCATCACCTACTGCGGCACGGGACCTCGGTTTATACGGTCTCGATCGTCCGAAGGACCGACCTCCACGTCCCGCAGTGGATTCGAACCCGCGACGTAAGGATCAACTCCTTACATCGCGACTCTAGAGCAAACGCTCTAACAACTGCGCCACGCGGGCGACTAACAATATAGGTAAAATCGAAACTAATATTTGAATAAGTTCATGAATTGGATTTGATATTCTTCTTCAATATATTAGATCGGAAATGTGAACATTTTTGCTGTTTCTATGCCTATTTTACTCGCCTTAAAAACAAGAAGCCGATAGTCTTCTCAGGCTATGACCACCCCACTCCCACTTCCGGGAACTGAAACTCTGGTTTCATGTGACGAATAAATGATCTTAGCTGTTGTGGATTCTATAGTCATCACAATACTGGTCAACGCGTAATCCGCTATTCGATTGTTATCGGGTATTCTTTTGATAGGTGTGTAAATTGTTGCAAGTGATCACCGTTAGAATAGAAATAGAAATCGTTGAAAATGTTTTCTATCTATATTCTATAAGATTGAATACAGATCTGAAATAAAGCGCCAATATGTATCTAATTAAAGTATGTGTATGTCTTGTTAAGACTTTCAGGGTCAAATGTGTTAAATCTTACAAGGTTTTGTCCAGTAGGTATTGCTGTATATAGCTCCTTTCATCAAAATCCTTATACACTGTACATACCATTAATTATTGTCAACATTTTGACACCCTAAGAATTATATAAAGAACTATTTTGGGGGTAAAAATTACACTGTTAACTTTCAAGATGTTATCGATAATACGGTTGAATGTTTCAACCTATTGTCGGTCATTATCATAGCTTGTCACCTAGAAGTTCAGGGCCCAAGACCATAAACTGGGCATTAGCTCACCTAAACGAAGTTGGGGGAGCTTATGTAATACCCTCGACGTCGGCGTCCCAGGTTAAAGGTTTTGATGCAGATTCCTTTTCAAGTACTTCTATGCCCTATGTTAATCAGAAATGCATGGAGGATGCTTCTTGTGTGTTCCATGTACCAGTCAAAGTTTCTGATGCAGAAATTTCAGCTAAAGAATGACCAGGTTAAAGTTTCTGGAGCAGGTCTCATTTCAAAGTAACTATAAGCCCTATGTTAACCAAACATGCATGGATGATAATCTAAGAATATACACTACCAGACTTGCTTCGGACGTGGATCTGACCTACATTTTCCGGATAAGTGACCAAGCTTAAGTTTTTGGAGCAGGTCCATTACCAAAAACTATAAGGCCTATCTGAGGCAAACTATTTCCAAGTAACTAAAAGACCTACATTGACCAAACTTGCATGGATGATACGTCCAATGATGCACACTACTGGACTTGCTGCGGATGCTGGATCTGACCTACATTTTCCAGATGAATGACCAGGTTAAATTTTTTTTGAGCAGATCTCATTTCCAAGTAAATGTAAGCCCTATGTTGACCAAACTTGCTTGGATAATACATCTAAGGATGCACACTACTGGACTTGCTTCGGATGCTGAATCTGACCTACATTTTCAGATGAGTGACCAGGATTATGTTTTGGAGGAGTTTCATTACCAAGAAACTAAAAGGCCTATCTGAACCAAACTTGCATGGATGATGCAAAAGGAATGAACACTCTCAAATTAGCTTCAGATGCTGGTTTTGACTTACATTTCCTCTGGAAGAGTGACTAGTTTAAAGTTTTTAGATAATTCCATTCCAAAGTAACTGCAAGCCCTATCAGACCAAAATTTCATAAATGCTGCATCTAGGGATCACACTACTAGATTATTAGTTTAATGTGGGACTTTGCCTTACTTAAAGACAACATCCGTTGATGTGAGCTCTGTAATCTTTGATTACCTATGTTCTTAGCTCTACTGGCCAGAGACCAGAAAAGCTTGTGCGATAGTAAGGTGTCTGTCGTCCGTCCGTCTAGCTGTCCGTTCGTCTGTAAACAATTTTTCAAAACACTACTTTTCCTACAGTTTTGATCTGATTTCAATACAACTTGGTACACAAGTAGACTACACTAAGATACATAATTCTGTATATCGGTTTTTGATTTCGATGAACGGTGTTGCCAAGATTACTAAGAATAGAGATTTCTGGGAATTACTTTCAAAACGCTACTCCTCCTACAGTTATGGTTTATACCTTAGCAAACAAGTAGACTACACTAAGATACCTAATTCAGTATATTGGTTTTTGATTTCGATGAACTGTGTTGCCATGATTACTAAAAATAGAAATTTCTGTGGAAAACTTTCAAAACGCTACTTTTCTACAGTTTTGGTCTGATTTCAGTATAAAATGGCACACAAGTAGACTACACTAAGATACATAATTCTATTTATCGGTTTATGATTTCGATGAACGGTGTTGCTATGGTTACTAAAAATAGAAATTTTTTGAAATACTTTCAAAATGCTACAGTCGAGATTCCTTGAGGTTTATATTCATCAAATGTTTTCTTATATTCATTCGTATAGTCATGCTCGAATTAAAACAAGACCTGGTTGATGCCATTGATACACATGTACAATATTGCTATAAAGCAAACCTTTTATATACTTACAAATTGCATAGATTAGGCTTTTTTACTCACAATCTGAATTTTCAAAAGTGTTAGATATGCACATGAATAATCTTTTAAAAAGTGGATCTTGTATCAATTATGTTCCCTGAATGTTATTGACGATTATTTCATTTTATACTTATACAGTCAGGTTCTTTTTATAATGGGCAATGATGTTATTACAAGAAACTTAGTATATGAAAAATAATTAAAATTTTATGCATACGAATTCGAAATGAAAAGAGAATTTGTTATCTTGGACAACCTCGAGTTCCCTAAAGAACATGATTTATTTGCATTTTTCAAGAGTGATAAAACACGTTCTATGTTCTTTCTATTTATTATCATATCCATTCCCATTTTCTTATTTGTAACATTGTACGTAGATGTATTTAGTAATTCAATATGTTTTAAAATTTCTGATGTGTCATTATGGTCCAACGATTTGAAACTTTAATAGATACATAGATTTAAATGTTGTGACTCCAATCGATCCACGAGCCAGATCCGCCACTAAACGTGTTTTCCCGGTGCAAGGATCATTTGAGTAGAGTTTTGTTATTTCATTTGGACAAATTCTAAGTAAAAAAACAAACAAACCACAAAACCGCATGTACACAAAGCACATAAAGTATATATATTTTCCCTTTATCTGGCCCTTTTTATTAAAAGTGAAAACATTTATCAAGTAATTGCCATTACGAATGAGGGTAACGCTTACCCTTAAGAATGTCTTGTTTTTTATTGAGTAGTTTGTGACTGAAAATATACTATATCAAGGAAGGAATTCAACCAAAATGGATATCCTCATATTTTATAAGAATTGATACATGTACATGTATAATTAGAAATAAAATATTTTGTTATGTTTGACTTTAAATACATACTGTGTATATCTAAGGTCTGGTTATCCCCACTTTTTAAGTTTTTTGGGGGAAAAAAAATATCCAGCCGACTGAATAATTTCCTATTCCTAAGTGAAAAAAAAAATGCCCAAATGAATTCTTAATTAGTACAAATGAAAAGTACCAAAATAAATTCTACAATTTAATGATTATAATCAGAATCCATATTATTAATCGTTTATTAAGCATGTGTTAATTTTACTTTATACAAGTACTTTCCGTTAAAGTTGTATCTATAAGTTAGAGAATTCTCAAAGGCCATGTAGCGTTTATTAAAAATAAAAAAAACAAAAAACAAAAACAAAAACAAAAACAAAAAAAAAAAAAAAAAAACAAAAAAAAAACAAAAAAAAAAAAAAAAAAAAAACATCTAAATAGGGTACATATGTTTATTTCTATTATTTTTTTTTAAGAATCAAGATCAAAGTCAGCCGTACTGTTTATCGTTAGGACTTTAGAGTTTGCTGTGTTTTGTCTTTGAATATTAGTTTTAGTTCGGAGTCGAGTGCATCATGGTACTTTTCTCCCCCGTATTATAGCACAAACATGCAATTCCTTTCGTGTCACAATTTATGTCCGGCATCATATAATACCTCGATATTTTGGCTAGAATCTCGGTCAATTTAAGAAAAACATAATTAATATCTCCGAACAGCTATTAAATTTTTCTCACACACTTCACAAAAAAACACTTCATTCGTTCGATTGGCATTAACTAGAAATCGAATCATTTCATTTCATTTCATTTCATTTTATTCACTCACACCAACATCAGTGTTACATGAGGTACAATAAATTAGTCGTCATAATTGTGACAAAAATAATAAATATAATTATGATACAATAGCATAAATGAGGGGCATATACATATGTACATAGTATAGCAATAAACATACAATGAAAGAAGAAAAGAAGAAAAAAATGGTATGATAACATTTAAATTATGGAGGACAGACGGTGTCGTTTATTTTAGATATAAATATACAAAGGTTTTTTAAAGTTTTTAAGTTTGTCGTTGACATAATTTCAGAAAACTTAAGTGTATTTGGCGTTTTACAAAATCTGGGATGTAAAAGATTCTTTCTGATGCTGTTCAATGTTTTACATTCTAAAATGAAATGAAATTCGTCTGCTATTTGCCCTGTATTACACAATTTACAAACTCTTTCATCCAGTGGAATATTTGACCATCTACTTTCAATTGGGAGGTGGTGGTTTGAAGTTCTAAATTTTATTAGTATTTTTTGGAGTTTACTAGGTAAAATACTTAGATATTTTTCAAATCCCAAATCACTCTTAAAAATTTTGTAAATTTGACCTTTTGATGAATTATTTATATCACTATGCCATTTTTGCATAAATTGGTCGCTTAATCTTTGCTTCACTGCTGCAAGTACCCAATTCCTGTCAATGGGACTTTGTTCATATACCAAATGTTGGAGAACCCACAAGAGGTTAAAATTTTATAAATGAAATCTACCCATAGGTTTTTTGGACCTCCTTGAAAATACTGAGAACATAGATATTTATACAAAACACAAACTATTTTGTTTTCTAAAGAATTCGGGGTAAGTAATTTTAACCAGTAGGAGATCATTCTTGTATAAATATTAATATACAATGGGAATCGCCCAGTCTCCCCATACACCATATACGAAGGCGTACTACTCTTTAAATGGAAAATATGTTTTAAAAATTTTAAATGTACACGTTCAATGATGTCGAGATTTTCATAACCCCAAATTTCACAGCCATAAGTCAAAATTGGAACAACAACTTTATCAAAAAGATCTAACTGACATTCAATTGGTAAGTTAAATTGTCTTATCTTCCTTATAACACCATACATTGCTTTCTGTGCTTGTTCACATAAATGTTTTTTGGCCTTACAAAATGAACCTGAGCGTGAAAATATTATCCCAAGATACTTGAATTCTTTTACATTTTCAATTGCATTATTATTATGATAAAATACCTTTTTTGACATTGGTCCTTTAGAAAACACTAGAATTTCTGTCTTACTAACATTAACATTAAGTTTCCATTGTGAACAATACAAATAAAAATCATCCAAAGCCTTTTGCTGATCTACATCTGTTTCAGCCAAGATAACAGTATCGTCTGCATATAACAAAATGAAAAGCTTAAGATACACATATAATTCTTCTTCAATAGCGTCAGTTATGCTTTGTAAACCAAAAATATTTCTATCCGAGAGAAACTCTTCCAGGTCATTAATATATAAGGAAAATCAAAAAGGCGATAGATTTTCACCTTGGCGAACACCAACATTACAGTTAAAATAATCTGTGATTGTGCCATTCAGATTTATTATAGATTTAATTCCTATATACATATTTTTGATGTAGTTAAAACATTTTCCACTAACCCCACTCTTAAATAGCTTATGCCACAATCCAAATCTCCAAATCGAGTTTTAGCAAAAAAAAATAAAGAAGCAAACAAATATGCATGTCATCGTCAACGTCATTTTCTCTCGATTACATCCAGCATTCATAAAGAGATAAAGAGAACAGAAAACCAAGAACACGATGAATATTCTATGTGCATAATAATGATATGCGCAGCTGTCTGCGCAGTAAAATCGTTTGTGTAATTTTTAGTTTCCTCTGCTCGTGCAATTTTTGATTTTATGTTTGTGCATTTTATACCCCTTAATCGTGTAAAAAATTTCGGATTTGTGTATTTTTCGTTGTGTTTGTGTTAAAATATTTCAAACTATGTGCAATTTTTACCGATCATGCATTTTTATTTTACTCGTGTATATTGTTCATCATGCTCGTGTATAAAATCGTGATCGTTGTGCAGAAAATAATTTTGAAGCAATCGGCGTGTCATACTATTGCTTGCAATAACAAAGTTTCTAGTGTTGTCTGATATTGTTTAACATTTGATTATCATAGTTAAGTTAAACTGCATACAAAATTGCAAACAGTGATGCATTCTTAATTTATACTGTAAATAATTGTATTACGACTTTTTGCTAATATTGTGCAATTTCAGACAAAGGTCAAGATAAACTTATACTTTGTAAATCCTAGATCATATTTTCCTCTTCCTTTGGCCCAATTTGGCTCAAACTTCACCCATAGAGTGCCAATGGATAAAGAGAGTGCACTGACCTTGAACCAATCTCCAAATGTTTGAATATAGAATAAAAATAAGATTTATACTCAACAAAATCATTGTTAAAATCTTGCAGAGTTGATTTTTTTTTTCATTGTTATGGTATAACAATCTTTGACCACGGCAGTCTTGCTTAATGACTTAAAATAAATACAATCAATAAAAATGCAATTTCAAAGATGTGGAGTAGTAGTACGCCATTTTTTCTTCTTATATAGGTTTTTCAATTTGCACTATCGAGAAAAGTTCCTCAGACAGACTGATATTAATTTTAATTTTAACATGTTCTTCTGAAAAGTGCACAATGATTAACACATAATAAGAAATGATATTAAAGAGAAATCTCAATAATTTGTGTGATGTGTTAACCTTCACTGCAAAACACATATACAATGTACTGGAAAACTCATCTTCATCCGATATGTTATCTAGTCTCACGTTACACACTGTTGCTATCTTCTTCGAGAATTTGAATTTATAACTTTCAATCGAAAGTATGATCTTTTTTCTCATCAAGTGACAAATTCTGAAAACGCAAACGCAAATACTTCATGAATTCAGGAATAAATCATCGAAAAAGCAATGAATACAGAGTGAATAAGACACACAGACGTCAATTATCCATTTTGTTCTCGGCTAAAAAAAACAAACATTAGGTTAAGACTTGCAGAGAATAAATCAGGGGTTGTTTGATAAGGGAGACTCATATCAAGATAGCTAATCTTAGAACACACGAAGAGCAGAATGCTTGTTGCTGATTTTATGAAGTGTTATGTGGATCAGCTGTGCCAGAGTAACAGTGTGTTGTCGGTATTAATGATAAAAACGTGTTCCTATATTGATACATACGTTACAGCGTCCCCACTTCTATTCTAATATTTCTATCATCATTTTATTGTAGATGATAAAACTTCATAGCTGCAGTAAGAGATATTATTTTATTGAACAATGGCTGGTAATTAAGGATGACATATTACCCATAGAACTCAATGGGGTTAGGGTTAGGGAGGGCCCGCCCCCACTTTTTTCTGAGCTTAATGTTTTGCAATAGTAAATTTACATTTAGACTCTGATCCCCCCCCCCACTTTTTTGTTTGTGTAAGTTCGAGCACTGGTAAATTCCAGCATTTGGACAGTTAATTAGGTTTTTTTGCTTGTCAGATAATTTTGGGAAGTCCCCCTACTTTTTGGACAGTTAAGTTTTTTTTTTGCTTGTCAGATTTTTTGGGAGGATGCCACCCCCTCCCCCAACTTTTGAAACCATTGCTACGGGCCTGTTACTTTTTCATTAGAAAACAATTCAAAATATGCACGTTGACTGACATTATTATTCTATACTCAGTAATTTAGCTTCTTTCTTCTGTCGTGCTTTTTGTTACAGCTGACATAACACGTAATTCAATTACTGTAGATCAAAAATTTTCGTGGCACCTTATTTTCGCGAGTTAGTAGTTTGATATTTATAATCGAGACCACATTTTCATGAGTTTCGATTATTGTGTAAATATTATCTTTAATAAAGCAAAAATACGCGAGAATGATTTTTTTGCGAGCATATTGATTCGCGTAATTACAGGAAAATAAAATTCTCAAAAATAAAAAGTGATTTGTAAAACATGTACAGTCAATTACAGATAAACACAAGTAAAATTTAAAGCTTACCTTAAAGTATTAGACATGTTTATTGGCATTCATCTTGCTAGTACCTCTTGCATATATCTGTTAAGGAAATAGGCGAACAGCGTGCAAAATGCCTATAGCTTCAAATGTATTAAAGTCATATTTATATAATTTGTGAGTTTAGTATAGCGTATTAAGATTAAAGTTCTTATCACTGATAGGTATGAAATTATGACAAACAAATTTTTTTTTCGGATAATAAAAAAAATCATTCTATAATTCAAAAAAAGGTGGTATTTGGGGGGGGGGGTCGCACCCAAGAAGTAAAAAACACCGAGTATCAGGTTTTCCTTCGAGGCTAACACGCTAACCACGCCCATAAGGAACATTGGCATTTAAATCATATTTGTGGTATGACCCTTGACTAAATGGACTTCAAATATTTCTCGGAAAGATACGAATGTTGTGTCATAAAAGTGTATTTTTAAGGTATAGTGGGTCTTTGTTCCATGTTTTTGTTAGCAGAAGAATTAATATTTTTACATACATGTGTATACTTTGAGCATTACCTTTCAAAAAAAAAAATGGAGCGAAGACCCACTCATATGGAACAAATGTGTTTTAGTATGGAGATCATTTTTGCCCTTTGGTGTATGTATGCTATTTCATAGACGAATAATTTCAATCTTTGTGAGATTATTGCGATTTGTGGATATTTTACATAGAGTATATGTTAATGTTTGAATGAAATATTAAACAACATGTCATAACTGAGAGATAAGTGATGAATTCAGTAATTTAAAAGCAAGGGTTTAGTCTAGATCCAAATGTGGAAAGGAAAGGTTCATTTCACATCAAATAAAAAAGTTATATAGAAAACAGAAGCTTTCAGATTTACTAAATGTCATTTATAATACATGTATATGTAAAAAGAGAGTTTTCCTTTCGTTTGGAAATTTTAAAAGCACCTGAATACAATACAAAACAAAATGAGATCGGACATTTGTGTAAAACTTTCCTTCTAAATGTGGCTGAGATTGGTGTATGTAGTGTAAAAAAAAAGAATAATAACTTTTGTGGAGAAGTTTTTATGAACAAATAAAAGATCCATATCAGATGATACAATCAGAGGACACAGTTAGAGAATGTAGTAATAAAACAATTCTAGAATAGGAATAAAAAAAGAATCGAAGCATTAAAGTGATGAGCAAATACCGTAATTAAAATGATGTACAAGTAATTTTCTTCATCAAAATTAATCCTCATGGTCATGACTTAATGTTTCTCACACCAGAGGTTATTGATAAACTTAAATGTTAAATATGAGAACTTAATCGTGAAAAAGAATGACATTATAAAACATATTCTAAGGCATTATTCAAAAGAAAAAGAAAAATATAACTCTGGAATGAAACTTCATAATAAAGCAATGCAAAACTTATAATAAGCTAATGACAGAACATTAAAGCTGGAAAATCTAAAGTTGGTTTTATCAATCAGTAAATTTTTTACACTGTTGTCGTAGATTTATTTCCGGTCAACAACCTGTCGGAAGGCTGAAACTCAGAACCGGTTTCGCCACTCTGTTGAACTTGTTTAGTCTTTGTTTTCTCCTTTTCTGGCTGAAATAACGACAAAACACATCAATATGCATTTCTTAATACTAGTATATACAAACTTACAGGTTGCCATAATTTTTCTCTACGTTATTATACTTTATTTTACTCCTTATCACATTCATGGCTATTGTATTATTTGGACAAATTAACTGTGTCTTACCTCCTCAGCATACTTATATATAAGATACTCAATGATAGTTACTAAACTACCAAACACCAGTCCAATGGCTAATGCCACCATGGCTCCGGAAAAATGGCCAACATCTAGCACGAAAAATTTCGGAATTTCGTACAATTCAGGCCGACTATCATCGAACACTATTCCTCGACAGGATGTAGAAAACCAATGTTCGTTCATATCGTTTAGATAACCCAGCTCATCAATAGTCGATATTGCTACATTAATTCTTCGCTTATCTAAAGAGTCTTTTGGAAAAGCAAAGGCAAAGTGTCTATATACAGAGGGATCCTCAACGATATAAAGTTTACAGGAATACGTTCTCAAGTAATATTTTATCATCATTGATTCTCCAAGTAAAGCTAGAGCTTGTGTGGGCTCTTTACTGACTTTTTCTAACCCTTCTTTGATGGATGAGACTGTTTTGTATTTTTTCGATCTAAGATGTTGTGCTATCCTCGCATTTGAATTTAAAATGAATTCTTCCATGGCCCCTCCTTTGGTTATTAGGTACGGAATGTCACTGTTTGCAAGATCTTTGAGGTTTTTCACTCTTATCATCCTTTCTGTGTGTTCTGTATTCGGTTCAATTCTCAGCAAATTTGACAAATTTGCAATATAACAGGAAACAGAAATGACAACAAATAACCACCAAAACATAACGATTATTCTGCCACCGATGGAACGAGGGGCTCGCGTATAACCTGAAGAATAAAATCATTTTTATATTATACTCTAATTAACAGTGCTGTATGATAATATTATAATTTTAGCAATTATATTTCCTTCAGTCAGAAATTACATTCTGTTAGCTGCAGAATTGTAGCTGTCTGGTTGAGAAAATTCGAACAGACAAACGCCACAAATCTAAGCATTGTAAAACCTTCGATTTACGGTGCCTTTTTTGTCGCACACTTCGAGTATTACATGGATTTCTTGTATTATATGCGTTCTTCTTTCAAAGCATGGTATCCATTAATTAACCATACATTTTAATGCGGATCTTGTTACTTTCTTTGCCTTTCAACGATTTCAAACTGCTTATGTGGTTTCCAAAAAATTGCATTCCGACATCCATGTTGAGGTCATGCTAAAATACGCTGAAAAATTTACATGCCCGTGTTTTATACATCTGATTTCCTTTTATATAGATATTGTCATCTTTCATAGATGATTAAGATGGATATTTGATCCCCCACACCTCCAATATATATATATATATATATATATATATATATATATATATATATATATATATATATATATATATATATATATATATATATGTGTATATATATATATATATATATATATATATATATATATATATATATATATATATATATATATATATATATATATATATATATATATATATATATATATATATATATATATATATATATATATATATATATATATATATTTTCTCGGCATATATATTTTCTTCAACAGGCATATTTTACAATGACCCCAAGATGGATATGCGAATTTTTGGAAACTGACATTCCATAGCCGCATAGGGCTGTTTGAAATCAGTCGTTGAAAGGTAAATTAAGCACTCAAGATTAGGAATAAAATACAGGGTTAATTAACGGATACCATGTTGTATAATAAACAAGAAATAGTACCTGAAGCGTGTGACAAAAAAGCGGCGCCGATGATCGAAGGTTTAAACAATGTTCGATTTTTTCTCAACCAGAGAGCTGCAGTTCCTCACCTAGCATTATATAGACTGCCAAATGTACTTCAAGTGCAAAGGTCTTTCTTCTTATTATTATTTTCAGGTGAAATTCATTGGAAAAATTTCGGTTTTCCTGCTTGGTACCGACCAAGTGTTTAAGGCATACATACCTTGCCACATTAAAGCACTCATCACAAACCAGAAACTGTTCATACACGTGAATGACTCTCCCTCCCGGAGTGAGGCCTCGCCATCACGTGACATCCTCCGCCATTCATAAGGATTAAAATAAGACACCACATATAGAAGTGTGCTGGTAACAACAAATGATATAAAAATCAGCATCCATACACTAGGATTTAAAGGGTCCCAAACTCTCAGCAGACGATGGCCAATTGATTCTTCAGCTTTGTTTGGTTGCCTTAGAACTATTCCAAAAGATGTGGTCAGAAAAGGAGTTGAAAAATCGACAACACGTGCTCGCTTAGAAGTTACTGTAAATGGACCAGCGGCAAGGGCTACTCTCTATAAAAAAAAATAAAAGGAGAGAAAGAATTAAAAAAGATGGATGAACAAGGCATGCAAAATGCCTATAGCTTCAACTGTATAAAAATCAGATTCAATTTGTGAACTTAGTATATAGAGCAAAGTTTTGATTATTGAAATGTAGGAAATTATGACAAACAAAAATTTTATGCAGGAAAATTTTCTCGGCGAAAGTTTTTGAATGGTTAAAAAAAATAAGGATTTCTTGGGATTTGAACCCAAGCGATAAAAATCCTTAGTGTCAGAATTCTTTTCTTAAACACTGACACGCTAACCACTACACCACACAGCTCACTACAGGTATAGCTGTAATTAAATCTTATTTGTACTGTGACTCTTGAATAACTGAACTTTAAATATTTCTCGGAAAGATATGAATTTTGTGTCATAAAATTGTGTTTTTACGATAGAGTCCTTGCTCCAACTTTTTGTTAAGCAAAAAATATATATAGTTAAATATACTTTGAAGACATACTTTCAAAAAAAAAATTGGAGCAAAAACCCACTTATATAGAAAAATTGTGTTATAGTATGAAAAAATTATCATTTTAGTCCTCTTTGGTGTGTATGCTATTTCATAGACAAATAATTCTAATACTTGTACGATTGTTGCAAATTCTGGAGATTTTACATAAAGTATACCTTAATATAAACTGAAATATCTAAGAAAATTGTGTTATAATTGAGGTAAAATTTTTCACTTTCTTATTTGTCAAACAATAGGCATTTTTCTCGGCTTGTTCGCCCATCTTCTTAAATAAAAATTCGTTAGTATGTTTTATACAAGATAAGTTTGACTTTTAATTTGATTTTCTTTCTTACATTAGCATTTGTGATTCTTTTTCTTTGTTTTGAAATCAAGCAATTATTAATTTATTTTTATTACCTTTTGTATAACTTCATTTATTGTGCCACTCCAGTTCCCTGGTGTTAACTCTCGTCCGAAGGTCCCGTCAGGCGAGATTTCGATATCATAATCAAAGTCCACTTTTTTCTTCAGCTCCTCTAACAGGTCTATAATATAACCACGATATGTCTTATTTACACTCCCGTTACTTTCTTTCTCTTCCATCAGAAAGGGGGAAGTCTGAAAGGTAAAAGTTTGGCTGCAGCAAAAGAAATGTGATCAAAGGTTCTCTACCTGTAAATAATTATAACAATTCAAGAAATGGTTTCCATGCTTAGACGAGGGGTTTTAAAGTGTTGCTCAGTCTTCAATTCGAAATTCAACAGATAATTACATTTCGATATAATAAGTCCGTCTTCGGAAACACACAAACATGCAATATATAATACGACGTAAATGAAATTTTAAAAGATTGTGCGAATGTGAGAGGCCAGTGCATTGGTAAATTCATTGCTGGCAAGATCGACACCCTTTTTCCTTATTTTTCAGTACATATTATCGATATTGTTACCTTTTTTGTCTTTAAAAGCTGTTTCTAAATATCTCGTTTTTATGTATCAGAGACAGATGTTCGTTAACTTTCAGAATTAAGTTGAAATGATTGCAAAGGAATGATTTTTTGAAAATAAAAATTAAAATCTTTATTTCATTTATATTTTATACAATATCTATAGAATTTTATATGTAGGATTATAAAGCATCAGGAAAGGCCTACACTTAAAAAATCTTCTGAAGTCAAACTATACCACGCCACTGTTTAGTACTCGTTTTCTTATTTTGAGTTAATCTGCAAGGATGCCAAATGACATAGTGCTTCAAGGATGCAAAACGATTTAGAAAAAAGGAATTGGTTGTGGAACATACACAAAAGCAACATCACTGAAAGGTTTTGATGATGATTTTTGATACAAGTAAAATCCCAGTCACATTTCCAAAAACGACTAAGGGCCGACGTTTTGTTGAGGCAAAAATGGGATTCTTCGGGCGGCAGTCGGCAGTTCATCGGCCGTTGTCTTTCCGATTTTGACCTCTTATTTCGTCGGCCGACCAATTTTGTGTCCTTCGGGCCAAGTTATAATTTTTTCTGCGTCTTAGGCCGATTTCTCCAATTGAAGCAGTCATTGAATAGTCTGTCGACCAACCCTCAATCATCGTTCGATCATCAAAAGACAGTTTGTAAAGTCGGTCGTCGGTCGGTCAACGTTTAGGGATTGGGTTTTCGTAAATGTCAGTCGACGATAAAAATCAAACTGCGGCTCAGCGCTCAATAATTGGGCAACGATTGGCCGAATAAATATTTAAAAGTTTAAAGGCATCGGTGTTTCTAGAATTAATGTGACTGCTCCCTGCCACTCGATACTATGTCGGCCGATCATGTTTTTTTTCAGCCGATGATACGAGAAAAATGTGGTCGCCCGACCTTCGCCTTAAATGTGACCTAGGTATTAAGGAGAGTTGATTATATAGTCTCAGTTTAATGTTTGTTACAATTGGTATAGATGGTCAGTGTAAAAAGCCTTTCAAAGTATATGCCATAAGGTTCAGGGTCATGGTTAAAGATAATTTTATGTATATTTAAATTACGTTTATCTATCAGACTAATTACAACAGGAATGATAGGTAGTCAGTATCACTTTATGATGTTTTGAGATTGATTTTGACAGAACTTGAAAAACTAAATGCTGTCTACATGCCAGTCTGTGGTAGCCATTTTCCCTCTATGTTTGCACTATTCCATGTAAGATTCAAACTTTGGATAACTGACTTTAATGGTGGATATAATGACCTTGTCAGCAAATACAACCTGTCATTAAGTCAAATGCTGACTGACGTTTTTCTTATACACTGAATATCGGAATTTTCCGTTTTCCCGATCATGACAAGGAGCACACGGCGGGTGTGACCGGTCGGCAGGGGATGCTCACTCCTCCATGGCACCTGATCCCAGAGGCCCGTGTTTGCTCAGTTCCCGATTTGTATTGTTTAAACGGACTTTGAGCTTGAATACTGTTCGTTATCTCCATATTTCATTTAAGTATTGAGTTTGGGCATTTTTTCAAACAGAATTTAATCTTTCATTTTTTTTATTTGCGACTTGTTTGTTTGAAATTACTAAAAGGAAACACTATGAAATGGAACTTTTTAAAGAACATTTAATTTAAGTAGAATTTATTATTTTTAAAGAAGTAACAAAGGCTACCGTATTAAATTAAAAAAAACCCTTAATATTTATTTAGCCCTATACTCTAAAGACAGATTGCTACATTAATATAAACGGAGTTCATGACGAAACCTTTCAAATACAAATATTTATTTAAAAAATATTTGTAGTCAAGGGAGATAATTTAATATTTACATAGAAAGTACTGAAAATTTACTATGTAATAGTGGATTTTTTTAAAATTGTTTTTGTTGATACTTTGTAAAAGACATTAAAACAAGCAGATCAATTTGAAATAAAATCATCTTATTTTAAAGAATACATTGTAAAACGGTTTGGAAAACTGGTCAAAGGTAAAATTTGCTTGTTGTTCGTCTATATATTTGGTTAAACAACAGAATTCTGGGAAACGATGTTTCTGTTATAAAATGACGATCTGTTAAAATCAATAAAATGCTAATTTCAGCTGCTCTCATAAACAATTGCCCGCTGGAACAAATTGCCTATGAGTGATAGAGTAAAGTAGATAATTTTTAGTTATGAAAGCCACTCACATATGACCCAAATACAGGATTGCAACTTCCATATGTCCAAACAAAATAACGAAGGAAAATAATCACCCTATAATTTAGAACAGGTTTTAATAGCTTCATTTGTTCCAATTCTAAAATTTATATTCACAGTTTAATGAGAAAGGTTTATACAAACACGTTGAAGGCTTTTTTCTTATTATCAAATTAATAAATCCAATTCATTTTCTATGCATAATGTGTTTTCTAGAAAGAAAGTATTCTAGAAATTATTTTCTCAATTTCGTAATTTTTGTTGCAAACTCCCCTATCCAAAAGATACATACATATACCAAGTATGTGCGATTTACTTCATACCAGCGCTTCACAAGCAAAAATGTTTCGTAACCTTCAGAGGAGTGATTACATGTACACGTAGTTCGTTTTCTGTTCGAAATTCTAGTTTCCATGATTTTCATTGTGATACCTTGTTTTAATTTTGCATTGATTCATTTATTCTTTTTTTAATAATATCTAACCCAAATATTTAAACTGACACTCAGTCTGACATCCGTGAATACATTTCGGCAGTTAATTGAGTCAGGCGAGTCAAATACTACTGTCAATCAATCGTTCTTCGCAAACTGAGATTGGAATTTGCGGCCACATTGTTACATGATTGATCTGAACTTATATTATTCAACAGACGGAAAAAGTGTCATTTCCTTCTAATTTATAAAGAAAATCAATAAAAGTCCTTCTAAATTGTAGAATAAAAGAATTTTGATTAACGGAACTAACTGACATATTGGAAAAATAATACTTTATAGCATATACAAGGATATGTGATTTTGTACAGAAGGAAGGTGATGTGAGCTTTATGTACTGCAACGATAGGAATGTCACTCAGATAGAAAGGCGCCATGATAAATAATTAATACTTACCAGAACAGAGGAGACAATTAACGCTGATGTCTGAAACAAATAATAATTATTACAGAAGGAGTTAAGTGTTCGGTTAGCTGTCATTTCTTACGGATAAAGAAAAAATACACATTTTAATTTGATAAATTTATTCAATATTATAATCAGTTCAATCTCTCTCTCTCTCTCTCTCTCTCTCTCTCTCTCTCTCAGACATGAAAAGGCATGCCAATCACACACTCACACCACCTGTGCTAAAAATAGATTAGATTGCATGGATTCAAAGAGATGAGAAAATTAACTGAAAATGACTTTATTAAAGCCATTTACTTACCTCACTAGACACGAATGTGTTGCAAATTAATAAGATCCAGTATGCGAACAGATCCATAATTTTGATAATAACAGAAAGAGTTGTATAAGCTTAGAATCTAGGGCGTCTCTGAATTAAACGCTCTTTCTCTACAAACGCTATACGAGCCAAGCCTCCAATACTATAATGTGGAAAACACACTACTCAGGTTAGCTAGCCTAATTAGATCGTTCTGTTTTCTTCTTATTCCTCACATTCGGATAATGGATAATATTATATGCAATGCTATGAATAGCTATGCATGCATGTGTCAGGATAGAAAGTATTCATATGATATGATCAAATTTATGATAAATCAACAGTTATAATGTTGCATGGTTTTATTAAAATATCTTTGAAACAACAGAGAGAGAATACAATTAATACAAGAAGAAGAGGATGCACAGGTATATCGTCTCCTATGGGGGAAATATGCAATGTTTTCATATGATCATGTTGATTTCGCTAAATCTTAGAAACCGTGTTGATACAGTTTATCTGGATTTATGCTCATGTTAGAGAGATCCTTTAAATATCGTACGTCATTTGAAAACATATTTATATCACATAAAATATGAAGATAACGAACAGAAATTCAGCTCGAAAGTTCATTGAAACAATACAAACTAGGAGCAGAGCAAACAGAAACCTCTAAAAACATCAGAGGTGGGATCAGGAGCCATGGAGGATTAAGCATCCCCTGTGGATTGGTCACATCCGCCATGTGCTCCTTGTCATAATCGGGCAAACGAAAACATTCGTAAACAATTTAATGTGAAAATAATGGCCTAACAATGTGTATGAAAACGTCAGTCAACATTCGACTTAATTATAAATTATATTTGTTAACAAGGTCCTCGTATCGGGAATAGAATGTTGACTTTAAACGAGACTGTTAATATCCTTGTATCATGAACTTATTAGTAAAAAGCTTGTCTCGTTTTAGAAATTTTTCGTATGTAGAATATGCTCTTGCGTATCGAATCAACTGGGAGACATGAACTCTATATGCAGGTGATAATTGTATATACTGCTACATAAATAAGGGAAGTTGACGATAGAAAAGTTGAAGTCATAACATGTCTCATAAGGTTTTGTTGTTAGGTTACCATTAACGTTTTTCTCTAGTAAAATATCCACATATGAAACAGATGTGTCAGACTCTACTTTGTCTTTTCTTTTGAGTTCTAATGGATATATGGATTTAACGTAGGAATGAAAAAGATTTTTTTAATTAATAAAACGTCGTCGATATACAACTGTATCTAGATGTCAAATTGAAGGCCACAGCAAGAGACTTCTTTTCATGTAGAAGTTTTTGAATAAATTCTGCTTCATATAGATGCAAAAAAAAAAAAAAGAAAAAAAAAAGAAGAAAAAAACCAGGTCTAGATCTGCTAACAAGTAGCAGTTAGTACTCTTGGGAATTCCAACAGATTGTTAGAAGACCCGATCTCAAAAAACTACATATATAGATATTGTTGATTAGAAAATCAAACACATTTTTAATATCAACTGTAAAGTAATTGTGTTAAGAATCAGAATGTTTTTAACAAAATTATTTTGCAAATGACCAATGACAAGGTATGTACACGTATATTTAAAAGTTCCATTTTTATTGAAAAAGCAGTTGTCGATGATATCAAAAAGCCTGGTCTTTAATTTTTCGTGGGGAATGGTTGTATAAAGTGTTGAAAAGTCGTACGTTTTGTTTCTAATGGTTTTGGTAATTTTTGTGATTTCAAATTTTTTAAAAGGTTCCTTGGAGTTTTTAAGTATCCACATCTAATTAACACCTCTCGAATATATTGTTGTACAGTACTCCCGAAGTTTCTCCTTCACTGCTGTTAATATTTTGTGACGAGTTAAGAAAGAGGCTTGATAGAACATTTACTACAACCCTTTATGTATCTTTGTTTGTAAGGATTTTTATGTAATTTACGAATCCAGTATAGGTATGATTATTCAAATTCATTTTCAATTGTTGGGAATATTAAAAATATTTAAAAATGACGTATAATTTTGAAGAATTTCCTCCTTGGAATGACTTAAACTTTTCAATCGTCAACTTCCCTTACTTATGCAGCAATATACCTTCATCACCTGCATACGGGGTTTATATCTCTCAGTTGATTCGATACGCAAGAGCATGCTCTACGTATGTACATTTTCTAAAACGAGGTAAATTATTGACAAACAAGTTGATGAAACAAGAATATCAACTGTCTCGTTAAAAGTCATCATTTCGTATGTTCTATGGTCGATACAATGACCTTGTCAGCAAATATAATTTATCATTGAGTCAAATGCTGACTGACGTTTTTCATACTAATTGTTAGGCCATTATTTACACACTGAATTGTCGACGGATTTTTCTGTTATTTCCCGATCATGACAAGGAGCACATGGAGGATGTGACCGGTCTGTAGGGGATGCTCACTCCTCCATGGCACCTGATCCCACCTCTGATGTTTTGGAGGTCCGTGTTTGCTCTGCTCCTATTTTGTATTGTTTAATGGACTTTTGAGCTTGAATACTGTTCGTTATCTCCATATATTTCATTCAGTATTTTTGAAACATTTATGTCATGATATTGATATACTGTTGTAACTTTCACCTGAATACATATGAATAACCCTGGATGTATGTACATGTAGGTAATTAGCTCGCTTCGTGGTCGGAAGGTCGTGTGTTCGAATCACTGTCCGCTACTGACCTAAGTCGATAAAAAAAAAGGTAGCAACTGTTCCTTAGCCAAGCGCTCGGCACTTTGAAGTGAAAGTTGTGGGTTTTTCGGATGAGACCTTAAAAACCGAGGCCCCGTGTCACGGTAGGCGTTGGCATGATAAAGAACCCTCACTGTTCAATGGCCCTGAGTGCCGAGTAAAGGTCAAAATTTGAAGCCCTTCATCGGTATATGGTGACGTCTCTATATGGGTGAAAAATTCTTGAACGGGTCGTAAAACAACATACATGTACAATTAATCAATCAATCAATCATGTAGGCAATGAAGAATTAACTAAAATCTTGTTAGTTTACTTAAAAAAACTTTTTTATTTGGGTTATATTGTCATGTCTATAGAATGCATCCAAAAGCAATTTTTAATCTATAAACATCTATTAAACATCTTCATATACTTTTACCAAAATATGAATAATTGTGGTCCCCCGATTTCAGGGTCTTATTGGATGGACTGCAATGACTTATGACTTGTCTGTCCATTATACTAGGAAAGTAAAATAAAAGAAGTTTTACATGTATATTTATGAAGTAATATGTCCTGGTACGTAATAGCCAATGTTCAAGTTCGAGGTCTACGTCACGAGGACAGAAATGACAGTGTCTATTTATGTAGTATTTTAATTTTAAAAGTTTAAATAAAGTTGCCATATATTCGAAAATTGTCATTTTATTATCACTTTGTGAAGCTAAAAAATAGTTGACATCGTTTTACTTAAAATGCTGAAAAACAACAATTGTCTTTTGAATGCAAAAGGTAGAATGAGTTTTAAACAAAAATGCAAATAAAGGTCCAAAATCTTTTTCTATACACAGACATATTCAACGAGTCTTTTAGAAGTTTTTATGTTTGAGTATTTTCCCTACAAGAAGTAATCAAAATTACACTTTGTTTTATACTGTTGACAAGAATTTTAATTTTTGCATCAGTACTGAATCGCAAGAAAAAAATCTCACAAGTATAGATTATGCGAAACAAAATCAATTTCTTTAGTAGCTTTAAGCTACGGAAGCTTATAGGTTGTATTATAACTTGTACATTGTCTTATGTTTTATTGTCTCATCGACATATAAAGTGTTATAACACCTTATTTATACACATATGTTGAATAGTTTCTAGGTGTTTTAACATAACCTAAGATACCTTTTTTATTAGATTTATTTTATTGCTCTAAGTTAAATCGAATTAAAAAAATATTGATTTGAAAATATTGATCAAAGCAAGAGATTTAATCATATTGATTTATCTTTTTGGTCGATATACAACAGTAAATATATAGTTATGTCAATATAAATATATTAATATTTCAGGGGGGAAAGTGAGAAGATACTGTTATTGAATTAATTCGCGGGGGCGGGAATTCTAATGAAACGTCACTCCACTCGGGATTCAGAGACAGCACCTGTTCCATGTACGGTTATAGTGTGATACATATATTACTTTTAGATTTAGAAATGTTTTGAAGAAGGGGGATGGGGAGACACCAGCAGTTAGATCATAGGCATAGTTATAGGGGGTTACTGCCCCACTACCACGTTTGAAGATGGGGGGGGGGGAGGGACAAGAGCGTCTTTGAGCCACCTCCTCAAGCTTTTATCAATCTCAGTAGTAAATATATAAATAATGAAAAAAAGTCGTAGCTGGATTTTGAATTCTTTTTGCTTGTCAAACATTTTACTTGGTGACACACCAACCCCTTTTAATTTTGTGATTAATTAATCTTATGCAGATTATCCGCAATGAAGCAAAAAAATATAAAATTATACCATTTCAAGTAATAAAATGTTAGATCTGATCTGATATTGACGTTTTTCTGATATTCACTGTATTTTTTGCTGAGGAGGGGGGGGGTTAAGACTAGAGGATCAAATCTACGTGGCAGATCCTATGTTTAGCAGTGACAAAACATCAACTATATACAGTGTTTACGTATCCAGTGCCACTTTTATGATATTGTTAACGTCACTTTCGACGCATTCACGAATAGGCCTTATACTGCATGTATTTTGAATTGAACATTGAGAGCAGGGACACCTGTCGTTAATTCTTTTTACTCATCACAATACATGTATTTTTATGTTTACTTTGCAAGCATATATTTTTTGTTTTAAAAAGAGACTGATGATTTTTATTAATAAAAGAAATTATAAAAAAAAAAATTACTATACCTGCATATATTTCATTTCTTATTAATTAGAATAGTGTAAATAATGTAAATAGACATTTGCTTCATTGGGGACAAATTAACTGCTCAAGTTTCCCCACTGGTTTCCTCTTCACAACGTTATTTCTCTATAATCATAAATTATAAAAAATACTTGAAACTTTACACATGTGCCGTCGCGAGTGATGTGACATTCATTGGAATATATTCCCAAACCCTCGAAGTTAGTTCGAAAACAATATTTTCAA